CGAACAGTAGGCAATATCAAAACTGGGGGCTTTAGTCAAGGCTTTCTTGAGCTTCGGAAACTCTCTGCACTCTTCCATCCACTGGACGAGCACCCTTAGGGTCAGTATGGTCATAGGTGCTTGCAATAGATGAAAACCCTTGAACAAATCGACAATAACCCGCCAAGCCAAGAAAACTGCGATCTCTTGTATTCTGAGATGGTCTGGGGCCAAACTCTGCACGGCTCCATTTCTTGCGGATCCACCTGAATACCCTCTCTCGGACCACGTGACCAAAGAAACGCCACGGTATCCAACAAAACTCACATTTCGAGAAACTTTTAGCATACATTTCTTTTCTCATCAAGGTCTGGAGCACTATTCCTCAGGTGACTGCTCATGTCCCCCCGACTCGGGAGTATCAGGATGTCATCAATAAAAATCGATCACGATGAATCAAGAGATATGGCCGGAAACACTGTGCATCAGATGCATGAAGGCTGCTGGGGCATTAGTCAGTCTAAATGACATAACAAGAACTCAATAATTGGACCATTACCGAGCCTGAAGGCAGTCTTCTGATATCCGCTCCCGAATCTTCAAACTGATGATAGCCTGAACGCAAGCCAATCTTAGAAAAACACACAGAGCTCCCTTGTAACCAGTCACACAGGTCATCATACGAGAGCAAGGGATAAAACGGTTTTAACTGTCACTTGTTCACCTGCGATTAATCAATACATATACGCATAGAACATGGCTCTTCTTTACAAACAAGAATATGAAGCACCCCAAGGTGGATACACTGGGCCAACATGAACCCCTTATCAAGTTAATTCTGCAACTGCTCTTCAATAGGAGGAGCCATTATGGTACGGAGGTGATTAGAAATGGGTGATGTCCCGGAAAGATCAATGCCAAATCAATGTCTCTATCGGGCGGCATGCCCGGAAGGTCAGTTGGAAACACATAGGGAAATCCCGTACTACAGGACTGAATCAAAAGAAAGGAGTTCCATGACTGCCAACTCTCACATATGCTAATATGCATCACACCTTTCTCAACATAACGCTGAGCATTAAGGAAAAAAATAATCTACTGGGAGTGTGACCTAAAGCAACCCCTCCACTCAACACGCGGTACACCCGGGGGAATGGCAGTGTCATGTTTTGGCGTGA